GCAAAAGTTTAACAATGTTAATTTAGTAAAAAATAATTACGTAAGTACGTAATAATAAGTAATAAGTAATCTTTAATTATATAGCGCCTTTCAAGTTGTTACATATGAATTTGTATTACAATTATAGGCTACAGCAGACTTTAAATTGTAACTGATCTACACTTTTGTTTCAGAATCAAAAAATCTCAAAAAAAAAAAGTTGTCTATAATTTAATCTAGAATTATCATAATTTCAACTAAATTAATTGTGAATGTGAGAATACAAAGCAAATGTGCACTTGAATTGAGCATACATGTAAATAGTAATACATTACTAATTTTAATATTTGTAATGACCACCAGAGATTTTCAGCTTTTTTGAGCTGTGACACAGTTTTGTCATTGAAAACAGTCACATGGCACATCACCAGCAAAAACTGATGCAAACAGGAAACTCTCAACAAAGTTATTTTCTTTTGACATTAGGTGATATTGGATCATTAATAAAATATTAAGATCACTAACTCTGAAGCTATAATTGCACTTGGAACAAGGAGAAGTCACTTGTGGAGTACAGTGTCATCAGCAGCATCATGAGGTTTCACAATTACTGATGGTTGGTTTTGATTGAAAATGTGCCATTGTCAAAGCATCACACAGAGATTGCCAGACCAGCCAGAATCAGCGTTAAAAAGATGATTAAAAAGGCCATTGTAATTTGTGCTTTTCAACACACGTGTTTAGACGTGTGTGTGTGTGTGTGTGTGTGTGTGTGTGTGCGAGCGAGAGGAGCTGTGTTGGAAGTGATGTGCAGTGACACAGTGACAGGTCCATCCAGAGGGAACAATAGTGACCTCTGACACTGGAACCTGCTGCAGCCACTGTTTATCTAAGAGCAGACACATGGAGGCCCAGTCTATCAAACCAAATGTCAATTAGTCACAGGGCAACACTATGTTTAACAGAGAGGGGCTATCTCACACAGTTTAGACTAGAGTATTAGTACGTTTATAGATTTTCTTACAGTTAAAAGCAGAATTAATTGTTGGCACGAATCAATGTTACTTTTTACTTTACTTGCTGTTATCAAATTTAATGTGATGTTTACTAAATTATAATTATGTATTTATTTATTTGACAGGGACAATACATTTGGTTCAGTTTCATACATTAGAGAAAGATATTTGAAAGTGTTCTATTCATATGTCATCAAGGACTCTATTTGAACAAACTCAAGGATGTCTAATAGTATTGCAATAAGGTTGCGCACTGGTAATGAAATTGAGTTGATTAATTTGAATTAATAATAATAATAATAATAATAATACATTTTATTTCTTAGGTGTCTTTCTAGACACTCAAGGTCGCCTTTCATATCAAGTAAAAAGAACAGTTAAAATACAAATTAAAATATCAAGTTAAAAGCAACATGATTTTGGGAATTGTCTATATGATAACTGATTACTATTATAATAAATCGATTTTTTTTTTTGATTATGTAAAAGGCTATTACTTATTAATAGAGAAATAAATGTGAACTGTTTTCATTGGACCGGATGAAGAATGGAGTCAGTTTGACTGCACGGATGAGATCCACAACAACAACAAAAAAAACAAAAAAAACACACACTGTTTCTGTTGGTATGTTATTTGGGCCAGTTTAAAGGAAACCATTTACCTCTAGTGATATGCTAATACATAAAAGCCTTTATGATGTATTGATATTATTCCTAATAAAGAAGTAAATACTAACTTTCTCAAAGACCAATTTTTTTTATAGTAAATAACATGTGATCTACTGTGCTACTATGTCAGAGGTGAACCAGAAGTGGCAAAAGTACTAGGCGTAGCTACTTACATAAAACTATACATAAACTCTGGTGACAGTATTGAAACCTGTTAAAGGTATTATATATCGAATTCATTCATTCATTCATTCTCATCCCTTTATTGTCCATTTCTGGGTCAGGGGGGTGGCAGTCAGAGTTGCCACCCAATTCACATAGCACCAGTCCCTTGCTGATCCTCCTGCAGGTGGTGGGTCCACGGGAAGATGGCTGTTCTTTCATCACCGATACGGCCTTGATCTTTCAGCGGGGACTTCAGGCAAAGTGGGGTTAAGTGTCTTGCCCAGGGACACAATGAAAGCAGACATCAGTGGGAGCAGATGACATGGGTCGTGGTGGAATCGAACCCATTAGGTCCAGAGACCAACGCTCTACCAACTGAGCTACTGTCGCCCCCTTAATCTAGGTATTATATAATCTAGATTAAATGATATTGAGAAGAATGAAGTTCTCTAAACGTAGACACGGATACCTGTAATGTTTAAGAAAAATATAAGAGATTCTTTATTTGTCCCACTGTGGGGAAATGTCAGCGTTGCATTACAGAACAGCAGGAAGGAGGGGTATAAAACAAAAGATTAATGACCAATAACTCTATACTATACTTTTAATATAATAAAGATACTAGTTGTGGTGTCATCTGCAAGTACCTATAGCAGTTTATAAATGAACTCTCATTTATAAAGTGAGTTCAGTACAAAAAGTTAAAATAGTGACTTAGTTGCTGCTACCCTAGAACACAAGTTTACTACATTTAAATGCAGTGTTATACTCATAATGGGACCTGTATACAGTTTAAAGCTTATTGCTCACTCAGCAATGTGTTGGAATTGATCTGGGCCGACTTCGATAACACAAAAACCACCCCTCAAATTGAGCAATGATGAGATGTAATGCGACTATGGTTATTATAATAGATCCACGCTATTACAAAGCTGCCATTTGTAAAAGCTGTTAGTGCCTCTGCTGTTGCCCTGGTAACAAGCAACCCCTTTGCCCTTTCCCTTCTGCAATCCAGTGGGCCGTACCATTGCGTGACCAAAGGGTGGAGTGGTCAGGAGTTCTGGGACAGCGGCACTCCTAATATCAAAATGTGTCTACTCATCCGTTTAAATCTTTAGTATTTCCAAAATAAATTGTAAAACACAACTTTATTTGGGGACATTCTACTCGTCCATGGAGAAAATAGATTGTAGACTTCTGAGTCCCCCCTGTGTGACATTAAACTCACTACAGTACAGTAAGCTGTCAGAAGCTTGTTGCTGAAATCGGTGCAGTGCATAAAAGTCAAGATACTAAGTAGGCTACATTACATCTATCTCGTTTGATCTTAATATAGCTATTTCCAAAAATCTATACGGTAGACTCGACGGTCCATGGTCTGGGCTGACGTAAAGTCCCCGTGGTGATTCGTGATTGTTGAATTCTCTGCAGTCGATATCCGCGATGATGAGGTAAGCAGGTGTAGCTACTTGCTAGCACGGTGCTAATGCAGTTAATCTACGGCATGTCTCTTTTGACATACGCTGTAAACTCCGAGGCAATAGCTCCCGACATAAGATGGACCACTATCTAAATGAATCTGTCTGTTCAAGTCGCCACACATGTCTGTATACACATATGCGCGTTAGCGTTAGCTTGTGACTACGTGGACTTTTTTTTTGACTTGGCTTTGGGTCAATTACATAGCTATAACTTTAATTCAGGTTGGCAAAGTATGCCCTGGAGGCCACGTCTTCTTTCTATTGTACGTCATCTGTGTGTTGACTTTCAACACGAAGTATGTGTCATTTGCTTTGCATGCATATGGGTACATAAAACTGCGCTATTAACGGTGTAATAACAGATTGTCTGCTTTAACTGCGTGTCATAATTGCCCAGTCTATCTGAAAGATATATGGTATATTCATACAGTATACGTATGTATATTTCTTCGTGTCTTTTTTGATAGAAATGTTCATCTACTTAAAAATTAATGACTAAACAAATCAGAAAAATACTCATATAGGCCAGATCTACACACGGGCATTAAACTAGTGCATATAGTTTTTCAACCCAAACTAGAACAAAGACTTGCTTATAACCCCACATAAACCATGAATCTTCTCACTCTTTCCTCCTATTACTGAACAGACTGTTTTGCACAGAACATGACTTCCTTGTTTTCTATTGGCTCCCTCCAGACTGGGTGGGACTTCCCAGAGGCCGGCACCAGGCAGGAAGGGGGTGGCTGGAAATGTTCAGCACAGCCATTTAGTGTTGTTTTTAGAAAGAATCTCTGATGACCAGATCCTAGGAAATATAGTAGTTTATTATTCACTACAGACTTACTAAGCAGTATCTTTGAAGTCTACCTAGATTTGAGTTTCAACCCGTAGCCTCTAGTTTTGTTTCAGAAGTTCTAGTTCAACACAAAGTAAGAGAGGTAGGTTTTTTTCAGTTCCGCTTCCTGATATGTGCCTGAAGGAATTTGCTCTAGAATGTTGTGGGAAACCACGTTGTAAGAGGGCTACAATAGGGATCTGTTTTAACAGCTGTGGTTAATTTAAGTATGTGTCATCTGAAAACTGTTAGTATAGACTCTATACATTGCTTCCCTCTTTTGACAAAGTGTTGTAACATGTAGATGTGGTTAGCTTACAAGCCAACCGTCTTTCTGCCTAATCAGCAACTTCCTGCGCGCTTTGTATGCTCCACCTTCTGCCTGGATCTAAATAACACTTCCTCTTTTAGTTTTGGGTTGGTCAAAAGAAGCCTTTTGAAAATGCTTTGGTTATTTATGTTGAATAATTTGTGTATCACTAAATATTTTTCTTACATTTCAGGCAATCAATTACCTTTGTGAAGAGGAAACTACTGATTTGAAGCAACTACTTCACAAACTGCAAACCCGGTTCTCCATACCCAGTGTATATTGAGAAATTATGGTTCACAATATTGAGAACCTAAGATTTACAATTGGATGTTCTTTTAATAAGTGAATGTATGGACAATTTCTATTCTGGATTATTCACCCAAAAGATTGTTTGGCAACTTTTTTTTACTGCCAATGGAAGACTCGTCAAGTCATTTCAACCTCGACCTCTACGCAGCTTTGGGTTTCTAACGACAAGTCAAGTGCGGCGTCTCTCAATTGCCTCTTGATTCATTAAGCTTCATTCAAAGCTTCTAAATATGGCTTTGAGCATTTCTTCAATAAGAGACACAAAATGGCTGACTCTGGAAGTGTGTCGGCAGTTCCAACGAGGAAATTGTTCACGTAGTGATGAGGAATGCAAATTTGCTCACCCGCCAAAGAGCTGCCAGGTTGAGAATGGGAGAGTAATTGCCTGCTTTGACTCACTTAAGGTAATAGATTTACCAACTCCTATTTGATATTGTGATAGTAAAAACTTTCATTCCAAACAATGACTGAACCATTTTCAGTGACTTACTGTAATGGTGTGCAGGGTAACATGTAAACAGAAAGAATGCAGTGTGTAGTCCTCTCTTGACATTTATATAATAACACCAAAAGAAATCTGACATTCAATTGGATTACAGCCTCCTCTATTTGCTCAGGAGCTCTGTGTGAGGCCTTAGTAGTCTTAATCCACTTCCATATTCAGCCGTGCTACACAATGCAGCTTTGCCCTCAGGATTACACCCATGTTCTGTCATTGCCTTGGCTTCTCCATGTAGATAGTTTGACACTGCTTGCCTTCAAAAAGGCTTTAAAAGGGCAATGCGGTTTAAATGATGATTATTATTATTATTACAACAAGTATCTAAATGCTGCAAGAATATCAAAAAAAGGCCAGCGGGTTTGAGTGACACCTCCCTCAAGATATTTACAGACAGGTTTTTGGAAGAATTTGTACTACTTTGTCTATGTTGTTGTTGATGTCTATGACAGTCATAACTCTTTTCCACTTAGATGTATAAAGCTAACTCTTGGGTTCTGTGGACGTAGGGTCGATGTTCTAGGGAAAACTGCAAGTACCTTCATCCCCCCTCTCACCTAAAGACTCAACTTGAGATTAATGGGCGTAACAATCTGATACAGCAGAAGACGGCAGCGGCCATGCTTACACATCAGATGCAGCTCATGATCCCCAGCTCTGGTCTGCAGCAACTGGTGAGTGTCTCCATTGAACGCCTTACTTTTCAAAGTATTTCAATGGCTCTAATGGATACCTCCTGCCTCACAGGGAATGGCCTCCAATGCGGGTCTTGGCTATGGCCATTACTTAAGCCCCCTGGCCCACAGCATGAACCTGCTTCCTACAGAGATGCTTCAAAGCAGCTCTATGGTCATCCCAGGGAGTTCACCTATGACAGTGCCCAACTGCTCCTCATCGCCCTCACAGAAGCTGCAGCGCTCAGACAAACTAGAGGTAGAGCTGCCAGCAGTCATGTGACAATCTTCTTTAAACACAACTGTTGGTGCTTATCTGTGATGTAAACATGTGATTCAGGTGTGTCGTGAGTTCCAGCGAGGGAATTGTGCAAGAGGAGAGACAGATTGCCGATTTGCTCATCCCTCCGACAGTCCAGTGATTGACACAAATGATAACACAGTAACTGTTTGCATGGACTACGTCAAAGGACGCTGCTCCAGAGAGAAGTGCAAATATTTTCACCCGCCCGCACACTTGCTCGCTAAAATTAAGTCCAACCAACAAGTCACTCCGACCGGCATGACAGCACAGACTGCTGCAGCTATGGTAATGTTTTGCTTATTTTTTACATTCAATCTTTTCTTTAAAAAATAAAAAGGGAAGCCTCTATTAGCTAATATCAGTTCCATTTTTGTGGATAATATTGTGCTTTGTCTTACAGATGTGTATGTTTGTGTGCGTCTTATAATTGCCACTTGAAAGTACATTCTGCTAATTGTTTATCTTATTTAAGACAGTGGATTTTCATGACTATATTCTGCTCCTGTACTAATTAGCTGTTAAAATGACCTTAAATGCACAGTAATAGTAATTCTGCAAAGAGTTTATTTACAAACTAATGTACTAACTGTAGAAGGTAGTCACTGTGGCCTTATTGTGTTTTCTTGCATGCTTGTTTTTATGTGGTACATTATTTAGTTCTGTTTTTCCCCTCACCTGTCCACATGCTGTCTCCCATGATGCACTTCTGCTTGCCGTTACCTGTATGTTACATGCTTCAATCCCATTGGCCCACCGTCATCTTGTGCTCTCTGCCTGCTATTAAAAGACTCAGTCGACTGCCAAAGCGCTGAAGCGACCCCTCGAAGCAACATTAGACCTGGTATATTGACCTTTTGCTTTGCATGTACTTTATTATTGTTCTATAACAAGTTTTGTCATTGTGATTTACAGCTTCATCAAGCTAATACCTCTGTTAAAAACTGCTTGATATTTTGGAATGACATATTATGATTAGTAGTGGTAGTGTTTTCCACTTTATGTATGTCTGACATACTCGTTGTTATTGTCTAGATTTAGCACACTGTCCTGCTACATGGCAATAGCACAAAGAGAACAGTTTGTTTCATGAAATCTGTTTCTTTTCTAGGGGTTTCCTAACAGCACCTTGCAGCCCATAACAAAGCGACAAGCTCTAGAAAAGAGCAGTTGGAGCGGCTCTCTCTTCAATCCCAGTCTTTTGCATTACCAGCAGGCACTGACCAATGCACAACTGCAGCAGCAGCAATCAGCTGCTTTTTATCCCACAGGTGAAACTAAATGCCTTCAAGTTTCCTATAGTCCTGTAGACTCATACATTTTATTTCCTTTCTCAGGGTCAGTCTTCTGCATGTCTCCAACCACTAGCATGGGTAAGCACTTAAATCACTAAATCAACTATACATAACATTTATTGAAAATACTATATATTTAACTAGTTTTAACATACATGTATAACTAAATTGCAGTAGCTTACATCTCCCCTCACAGTTGTATGTAAAGTTGTATTTCAGATTTCTTTATTTCGAGAGGTCTTGAAGCCTCAAATGTTAAACACATTTCTAATGTTACATAGTAGAAGCCTCTGTGTGCTTTCCTGCTGTCTCGCTTTGCTGTGATCTCATGCCATCTGCTGGTCTAACCTAATGATGGTTGGCTGCTAGTGTTGTTTTGTTATTTGCCTGGCCAGAGCAGGCAAAAACATGGCTCTGGTTACCATAACCCTCCACCTCTACCTTTTCATTGCTTTCATGGTTCCCTTCCTGAACTAGTCCCCATGATGTACAGTACTGCACCTGCTACTGTTTCTGCAGCAACTACTCCTGCAACCAGTGCCCCATACGCAGCAACAGCACCCGCTAATCAGGTTTGCTCCTTTTTAAAGCTTTCTGTTTTAGACTTTGCTGATTTAGAAATGCTTCGCCACCAGTGGCTCTGTAAACTCAGCATCGCCTGCTTGTCTTTAGGCGTCGTGTTTGATGTATTTGTTTAATACTGAGCTGTGTCTCATCAGTATACTGCACATCTTGAAGTCTGCACACACTATGGTTCTCTCGGCATGCTTTGCTTTGTGTGTGGCCCTCGCAATCAATATGTAAAATGTTTGAACACAAAGCACACAATGTACACCCTGGTTTTACCAACTGTCTTAACCATCAGTTAAGTTGCAAGTGAGGGTTCTTTGTCATCATACGATTTTCTTTTTTTCCTGAACAGATCATTCTCAAGTAACTTTCAGAAATGGATATGCCTGCCATGTTGCAGCAATGGAACTACCGAAACAGCAGCTTTGTAAATACAGCCTCACAGTCGACTGCAAGCCGCATGACACTTAATCTTCGATACTATCCTATGTTAGTTTAGGTTTACATGATTCTAGTAAAGAAGCCAAACCCCTTATACAGCAACATCATCAATATGTCTCTTAAGCTCATAAAGGTAAAACTTCTAAGTCAAACCAAGATAAGCTTAAAACCAATAGATTCAAATAGATAGAACAAACACATGTGTTGTTGAATGTATAATGTAAAGTAACCTTTATAAGTGTCTGCAACATTTTCACAAAGTTAATGCATCATCTGGTTTAACAAAGCACTTCTCTTAACTAGACTTGACACAAGTTAGTGTGAACACCAAGCCCTTAAAAGTGTAGTTAGTGTTTAGAGCTCCCTCTCTTGGTGTGCCTTCGTACTGCAGATAGAGAGAAATGGGGTATTGCAAGTCAGTGATAGTCAAAACATTTTTTTTAATTTTCCACGCACAGAATATTCACATGTTATCAGACACAAGCAAACGTGATTGTAGAGGAGCGTGGTGGTATCGCTGGTGATAAACGCCATGTGCAACACTTAACATCGGCCAGCGGAGTTATTGTCTGAAGAATACTAGTACAAGTGCCTAAGAACTGTGCATACGTGGCATACTATTAATATAACTGTACTTTGAGAGACAGGTGAATTGGCAGTGCCATGTCATTGAAACAGTACTTGTGAATAGAAGATAGTTCACTGTTTGTTTGAGTTCTTTTATTATCACAGGTTTTTATTTATGTATGTACTGTATATTGTTATAGGTTATAGGTATACAGGCGTCCCTTGTTCTTAGTCAAAGTAAATTTTATATATATATGTGTGTAAAACCGGCTTTATACTTTGTCATTTTTAATGTTAACATGATGATTAGAAGTCAGATTGTGTTTTAAGATTACTATAACTCATTTGGTTAAAGGCATTTATAAGTTGCTCAGTTTTATTAAATATTCTATTAGAAAATATGTACAGTAACCAGGACAATCCACAGAGTTTGTGCTTGTTCAAGTTTAATCTTGATGTAACACTTGACTACCTTGCCTACATTAACTTTCAACTCTAAATACTATATGTTGAATGTAATTTATTATAGTTAGGTCTATATAGAGAGCCTCAAAGGTCCTTCGGATGTGTTCTTTCATTCAAAAAGCTTTCTTTGCCCAAGTGCAGTGACTTACTGACGGATGATTGGTGGAAAAAATAGAAACTTTTTTTTGTTACTGATAGAAAACAAGTGAATCTCATGAGTGTATTTGCTTCCGTGTTGTTTGCTCTTCAACAGTTTTTGTCATTTAGGTTCAATAATTGACGTTTGACAATGTTCAAATATTAACTACTTTAATTTGTTGAAAAGTGGTCTCACTCACAAAGAACTGGTTTCCCCCCAACGATGATTGTGCATACATTTAAGTCATGTATTTCATAATAAGTTGTCCAGTCCATTTGCAAACAAAGAAGGCAAAAACATACTACCGCACACAAGTGACTGGGGACTCTGAACAATAGGGCTAGGAGAAAGAATGTTTGATCTGCCTGTTTTATGAAAGCATTTCTCTTAAAGGAATAGTTCACCGTTTTTACATACTGACATATGTTCTTACCTTACCTTAGACTAGTTAATACGTACCTGTCTGGTCTTAGTCCGTGCGCTCTGTCATGCAAACGGAGCAAAAACGGGAGCACAACCGCAGCCTCCTCTGTATATTTTGTAGCACCAAAAGGTAGCTCCCGCTAGAAGCTACCAAACTCTTCCAAGTGTTCCCTATTAAATGTATATAGTTACGTGACGTGTTACACTGCAAAGTATAGTAACACAGAAATGTAACAGTCGATTTTCTCAGCGGATAAAACGGGTACTATATTGTGAGGCGTAGTAATCTGAGGGGCGCTACGTCCGCGCACTAACTTCTCTCCGGAGACTTCTCTCTCGCTCACTTCCGTCAATAGAAGCAGCGTGACTTGTAATACACACAGTAGCAGCGAGAGAGAAGTCTCCGGAGAGAAGTTAGTGCGCGGACGTAGCGCCCCTCAGATTACTACGCCTCACAATATAGTACCCGTACTATATTCCGTTTGCATGACAGAGCGCACGGACTAAGACCAGACAGGTACGTATTAACTAGTCTAAGGTAAGGTAAGAACATATGTCAGTATGTAAAAACGGTGAACTATTCCTTTAAGCACTTTCTAAAGTATTTTGTGATGTTTGCCTTACATTTCCCACCTGTTGCTATATTTGCTTTTTTTTTTTTGATTACTTTGAATGTCTGAAAAAAATAAATTCATTTCACATTCATGGTCCTTTGACTGTTTTATTACAATCGATGAATATTTATTTGACAGAGCGGCAACACAAAGCACAAGGCACAAATCATCACTTAAAACTCCAAAATCACCATTAAACACAATTAACGACAATGCATGAAAATAGAGATAAAAATCATTCCGTTTCATTCTTTGTGTGTCTATCGTTTCCAGGAGGGATGGGACCAGGCAAGTTTGAAAAGGGGTTGGATGAAGCAGATCCTTATTTGTTCTCACAATTCAACACAATACACAGAATACAATGCATTTAATCAGCATACAAAATCAACACAAATTTGAAGTGCAGTTCAGTGAAGAGATTATTGAGAAATGCACTCATTCTGCTAAATACCTTCTCAAATACTATAGATCTAATCTTTGTTTTCAGCTAATAATAAAACTCAAAAATACTAGTCACAGTCACACTATTTACTGACTTTTTAAAATGGGAAAGTGTGTATTATACAAACAGATGCAAGTATTGAACTCATTCCATTACTTAAGTAAAAGTATAAAAGGACATGCATAATAAGTAAGTGTTAATCATTGAAGAAGGACAGCTTTAGCATTTAAGTATTGCCATTTCAACACTAATAATCACTTGAAGACATGTTTCATTTGACAATATGCCCTATTATTATTATCTGAACTTAGAAGCATGGCTAAGCACAGCAAATTAATTCAGCTAAAAGCACGGCAAATGACTTCAAACTTATTTTTTTTTCTGTAATATCACAATCTGCACGGTAGTATTCAAATGTATAATACAGTTAACTTACTACTTCAAAGTAAAAGAAACATTTTGTCCAGAAAAATAAATATAGATATGGAAACAAGACATGATTATCCCATTTAGGAATTAGTTATGTATGCTATCATAAATTCTGTGCCTGCAACCTTGGTTTGAAAACACAATAAAACTCACATTATCTTTTTGAAATTGTAGCAGCAACTTGATCATTTATCATCCCTAATAAACCAATACAGCTGTGTTATTTTTGTTAGTGTGTTGATTGGTGTGCCTTTGGAAATGATCTATTATCACCTATTTGGACAGAATAATTTAAAACTTCACTTTGCGAATAATTTTGCCTTTTTGTGGAAATACCTGAATGTGAAGCTAAGCAGAGCAGGATCTGGACTTTTGTTGCATCCTTGGGAAAAAAAACACGTTGTCTAGAATGAGTCTGGTGTGTGCGTGAATGGAAGGTGGTGCGTGGTGGCCGGAGGGGCTGATGGCACATACAGGTTGCCCCACCTCTGTCAGTGTTACTTAGGGCAGCTGTGGCTACATAGAATTTGAATTTTTGCATCAGTTTCAGCTCAAAAAGGTTGGGGAACACTGCTCTATACTCAAACAATATACTTATCACTTTCTACCACTGCTGTTTTATCTTTTGGATGTATTATAATCATTGTATCCGCTGCCTCATGCTTTGAAATACACCAGTGCTTTTGAGGCGATAAAATACAGATAAACAAATCTTGCACCAGAAGATGGACATACCACTGTGCAAGATAACTCGCATCTCTCAGATTTTGGCATTTTAGTTTTGGCAACGTTACCATAGCAACAGCATCCGGTTCATATTTCGTGCTCGTGACAGGGCGATGCGCGCTGTGATTGGACGGCTGCTCTTTGGGAGTCACTGGGGCAACCAAATGATGGAGATCCGAGCACATGAGCAGAATTGACGCCTGTGAGTGGCTGGAGGAGAGCGGCTTCCATTCAAGCTCCTGCGAGTTCACATGCGGGCGGGAGCGGCTATTGGGCTGCTCGCACATCCATCTGCACACAGAAGGAGGATCCACGGGGTTTTTTGGAGGTACGGGAGCCGAGTGGGGGCCGGCTGGTTTCGCAGTATCCGCTGATGTCTCCACCCGATCGTATGGCGACTTGGACCGTGCAGGAGAGAGCGAGGCAGGAGCAGCGCCACGGGAAAGGCTGCGATGGCGAAACAAAGAGACGCAAGTTCCGTGGTCATGCGTGCTATTAGTTTGCTTTGGAGGTGTGCGTGCGTGGCGGCCTTCAGCTCGGCCACGGTGCGCGCGTAGCCCCGTTCGTGTGGCCATCCCAAGCGTTTGTCCTCGATGGAGCAAGTTTTGTTTTTCCCCTCATGCACATAGAAGGGCGAGCGAAGCAGATGAAAGCCTGCGCGGTCCTTCCACACTGGGCCATATTTGATCCTCTCGTTGGGACGGTAGCGGTCCTCCTGGTGTCCGTGCTGAAGCTGTCAGAGTGTGGCCCGTATGGGGGAATTTCTACAATGAAATCCATCTTGGGGCAGTGACTCTTTGTGCTCTGCCATTGCTGAGCAGCGGCGAGCACCTCTGTTATTCACAAGCTGTCCAACATGGGATGCCAGTGGTGAATGTGAATCGAGCGTTCAGGGTTTCTCTCAATGACGCGTGGGGATTGATGAAACCGCACGACCTATCTTTGATCCACGATGCGCGAGTATAAAGTGGTGGTCCTGGGCAGTGGTGGGGTCGGGAAATCCGCCCTCACTGTGCAGTTTGTTACCGGGACGTTCATTGAGAAGTACGACCCCACTATAGAGGATTTTTACCGCAAGGAGATCGAGGTGGACTCGTCCCCGTCGGTGCTGGAGATCCTGGACACTGCTGGCACCGAGCAGTTCGCCTCCATGCGGGATCTGTACATCAAAAATGGACAGGGGTTCATTCTGGTCTACAGCCTGGTCAACCAGCAAAGCTTCCAGGACATAAAGCCCATGCGAGACCAGATCATAAGAGTCAAAAGGTTAGTTAAACAAAGCCACAGTCATTCACACAGTCAACATATTTCCACAGCGTGTCTTCTGGGCCCTGTCTGTGGACGAGCTTGAGCCTGACCTAACAGTCTCAGTGGGGATGTTGAGAATCTTTCATTCAAATTATATTAAGAAGAGGTCTATTATTATGTCATTTTTTATACAACCTGATTATTGCGAATGCACCATGCTGTTGTCAATGTCACTGCAGTGGTACAAGCAAACACAGACCTCTGTGTAACAGCTCTCTAGTGACCCACATCACCCAGTCTCCACATCCATGGATCCACAGAGTGCTTGTTAGGTGAAAGACGACAGCTCTGGTAGAGGCTGCATCCTCAGTGATGGCCGGGGAAACCCAGGACCAGTGCTCAGTCCTCTGCAGAGGCTCTGTGCATCACTGTATCAATGTGGGGGAGCACACAAGCGTGCAGACCATTCTCTGCATAAGCGGAGCCATGTTTTAATTAACACACAGTGGTACAATCCAGTAGATTGCAGAGTAGATGAGTCTGCTGCAGTTAACCAGACACATGAGGTCACTAGATCTGATTGATACGTGACAGAGGTTAGCCAGGCTCTCAAGGATAACTTACTCAATCTATTCTACCACTAGTTTCACAATGCAACATCACATTATGATAATTTTAGTAAAACTGTGTGAAAGAATGGGGTCAACATCAACATGTTTCCCCATCAGAGCTGCTGTGTATTCTGTAAATTCCTCTTTCTCCTATGAGGGATCGATAAAGTATTTATCTATCGTTCTATCTATCTATTTTTGTGCAACAAGGAAGAGAATTTGTTTCGGGACCAGAGTGTGACCAATCACAGCGGACCACTGGCCCCCACCTTCTTGAGAAAATCTACAGGTCTCTTGTTAGCACAGACAGCTGAGGTAAACAAGCGGTGGAGGCTAACCTGAAGCTTCTTGTGTCTTCGTTTCCGGTTACTGCTTACACAGCGAAACAGCCATCCAAAAGAAAGTCTCGTCCTCTACGTGCTTCCCGTTTCTATCATTCTATGGTCAGGCCATCCACGTTCAAATGAGTTAGTGCAGCTTTAAGTAGGACTCAACGATAAATCAACATTTTTGAAACAATGAAACACAGTAAAAAAAAACAATTAGAACAAATGAGAGTATTTAAATAAATATATATTTATATATGTTTACACATATACATAAACATGCATACATCTGTAATTATGCTCAAACAATAATAATTTTTAAAAGTGAATGTAAATGCAGAGGTCATGTTTTAATGGATGATTTAAACTCTAGATGGAATAGTTTGCAGTCGAAGTGGAAGTGTTCCACAGACGAGGAGCATAGAAACTTTAGGCTGCCTCACTCTTTTTGGTCCTGACCTTTGGGACACACAGTAAACCTGAGAAGAAGACTTGAGGACCCTCTTGCTTTCATATGGAACCCCATTCACTGCTTTATACACCAAGATAAGCACATATAGAATGTTCTGTACTATGTACTCTACAGTTTTTCGTTGTGTGTCATCATGACAAACGCACACACAGTCAAACACACACACACACACGCAAGGCTGACAGCGGATAAAGCCAACCGAGATAGCACCATTTGAAGAGCCGTCAGCACCAGGAGTAGCAACAAGGGATGACACAGGACCCAGAGGAGAGATGAAGCTGAGGGTCCAAGCCTCCACCATGAGTGAGACCCCCACAGGACCCAGAGATATGAGTGAGACCGCACAGGACCCAGAGATATGAGTGAGACCCCCACAGGACCCAGAGATATGAGTGAGACCCCACGGGACCCAGAGATATGAGTGAGACCCCACGGGACCCAGAGATATGAGTGAGACCCCCACAGGACCCATAGAGAGAGGACTGCTCTCCTCTGGAGGCCCCAAACCTCCACCAGACCCCCACAGCCACAGCTCACCACCCTCCCAGAGCTGAGGGCTTTTACATAAAAACATGCAACACAAAGAGATAAAAAATAATGAAACTTAATAATAATGCCTTATTCCCTTCACTCTCAACAGTAACCAGTTCATTCATCTGTGCCATGAACCTCCTTCAGATTCCTACTGTGTGTGTTCTGAGTCATGGGGGAACTGGATTGCCTGGAGGAAACCCACCCAGACACAACATGTAAACACACAGACCGGCCCCTGGTCTGGCCGACTGATCAAACCCACAATCTTCTTTTTGTGAGGCATGAGCCCTACTACCCTCTGCTCCTGATTTGCAAAATGCAGTTAAACAATCGACAAATACAGACAAGGAACAATAATGCTTATAAAACATAATGTTCACAGACTTTAGGAGAAGAACATGTGTTTAGTCCATCTACAAGAGATTTAACAAATACTACATTTTTGATAGCTTATACACAGCCGTAATTGTTTTACTCAATACTTATTTTTGCTTAGGTGCATGTAGACTATGGCATTGCATACTAATATTGACTCCAAAAACAAACAGCAGCGATAGAGAGAGATGGAGGAAATCTTTGTCATTTCCAATGTCAAATAAGAGGTTTGTCAAAGGACAGATGGAGAGAGCAAATTTCAGCCCTGAAATACCACATTCTTAGCATCGTTTGTTGCAAGATAGGTCTTTCAAGTACCATTCATATCAAAACCTTGAATAGTTACTACATATAATACGATCCTTGGTTTTTATTTAAGCTTATTCTAAAGTTTGACTCCAGCCCTGTGACCATATCGAGCTCCTGAATCCCTCCAAAGGCTGCTGCTCTATGCATTGTGTATGCTGCTGGTTCCCGCTCTCGCCGACAGCACCACGGTATTCTGCCAGATGGAAAATGTGGATCTCCAGGGAGTCCGGATGTTTCTCAATGATAGGCAGTTGTGCTTTCAGGGCACTTTCTCACAAACACTGCAAATGTGCATTTTTCAAAAGAAGTGTGTTTCTTTGACTCAACCAAGACATATACTTTTATCACATTATGTAATTACCAAGTCTGTAGGGTCACTGCAGGATTAGATAGTGATGAATTTAATTTAGTTGTTAGGGTGTGTTTTTCTCAATCCAAGTGCTAAACTGTGAATGAAAGTACTGAGAAAACAAGCGGTTTTCTCAGTTTGCTTCAATGTTCAGGAATGCTCATCTTTTTCGCACACAAACCACTTCATAAATATACCTCTGTCATGTTACACTTATCAAGTTCATTTCTTCATAAATTGCATGGACAACATTATGCAATATATTTGAGCTAAAACATCAAATGTGATTTTTGTAACTACTGTATTTCTGTAAATGTGAGCACAAATATACAGAAAACCACTCGTAGCACGCAGACCTCCCCCTCAAAGCACAATTCCTTTTTTGTTTTAAAAAATCCACAATTGAATCAGATATCATTATTCTCATTTCCTTTTTCGTCCAAATCCTCCCATATCTTTCTGAGTTATGTTACTCACAGACAGACTGACAGACGGCAGTATTTGCTTTTTTGGGGGGGTAAAGCTCAGAGATGATCAACGATAACACATTTCACTCATTGTTAGTGGTAATGTAGCAACATTATCATGACAACAGAATCTCGTCTTCTGATTAGAAGTCTTCATCCCACAGTTTTCCCAAAGCCTTCATATCGTGACTGTGTTCCATGAACTGCACGTGTTGACCTCTGCACAGATCTTCTCAATCCATCAATCAATCTGCTCAATTCTATGACTTAACTCGAATGACTAAATTGACCAAAACAATTCAATCTATGGCTCGGAGCAAAAAATGTAAGTGTAACCAATAGCTTACAAATGGCTAACCAATAGATAACTCGTTTAGAAATGATGTGGCAAGTGCTAAGTAATTGACATACTCATCAGATCTCAGAAGCTAACCAGGGAAGGGGCTGGGTAGTACTGAACTGTTGTTGTGCCTGTGGGCAAGACACTTCCACCAAGTCTAGATGGATTTGGATGTGGCTGGCTATTTATCTATATATGACACGGTTTCATTTTGAGTAGCTGAGTTGTAAGATTGTGTTTATGTTTTAGTGTGTGTGTGGAAGTATTTATTGTCATAATATATATGATAATTACTGTGTCCTCATTCAATCCTTCTTTAAGGCTTCAGTGAACGCCACATTGAAGCAGGTCCTTGATCCCCCTCAGCAGCAGATGTGTTTCAGCCTCCTCCACACTGTCACTTAAGTAGATACATATTCTTCTTTCCATTCGAGGCCTCCTCCCACAGTGAGTCGTCTGCAATTTTCACCCTTCAAACAGATGTTTCTGAAATGGCTCACCTAAATAGGTTTTAACATGTCATGCTTTATTTCCGGTGAAAAACCAATACCTTTCAGAGACAAGAAACCTGAATCTAATTGCAAAATAATTCTTGTAGGTTGCATAATTAGCTGAAGCAACATTTGGTGTTCCCAGTCATATCAATTGCTTGTAAAGACCGTGATCCAATCATGCTATGAGTACATTCTGTTCCAGCTCAATAAATCCGAGCGACTCAATACAACAATTTTTTAAACCAATCAATAAATCTTTATTGATGGAGCCCTTTACATACACCAAGTGACAAAAGCACTTTACAGTAAAATCAAGGCTCAAAAAACATGTACATAAAATACTTGAAATATTCAATACAAACGTGAAGAACATGACATAAGATTAGATAAACCGTTTCAATGTCATAGTTGTGCACATTACTGCAGAATACAAGAAGGAAAGAAGGGGCACAGAGGTTCAAGTACACCAGTTGAGTACACACTGTAGTTAGCAGCACCAGGAGGTATTTACAGATGTTTATATTGTACTTAAGAAGCAAAGAAGCAAAGAATATGACAGTAATAGAAATAGCAACAGGTAAAGTGACTAATATATAATTTTCATCCTAACATTCCGTCTCTTGTGTGTGCTTGTAGGTATGAGAAAGTTCCGGTGATCCTGGTGGGGAACAAAGTGGACCTGGAGAGCGAGCGGGAGGTGTCTTCGAGCGAGGGCCAGGCGCTGGCGGAGGAGTGGGGCTGCCCGTTCATGGAGACCTCGGCCAAAAGCAAAACCATGGTTGACGAACTGTTCGCCGAGATCGTCCGGCAAATGGACTACGCCGCTCAGCCCGACAAAGACGACCCCTGCTGCTCCTCCTGTAATATACAATAGCCCCGTGGCCTTTGGACGGTGGGAAGCTGCAAACAGGAACTGACTGGAACTTACCGCAGCGTTGGAGGAATATATTTGAAATTAGACACACACACATGCAGAGGCCAATTACACAGAGGACGGTTCACGGTTGAATACGATGGATTTTAGGTCTTCGGAGCGTAAAATCAGAAGTGACACCCTGATTAATCCTGTGAGCAGTGGACACAATTTGAATGAGAAATGCCACAAAAGATTGAGTCTATAGGAACATGCCTTATGTTTATTGTTTGTTGCCATTTTCAGTGGGGGATATTTTTGCAATCATAACCTCGTCATCAGCATTTTGGGGTATATTTTCCGATCCGGTTGCTTAGCAGCGGGTGCAAAGTGCATAGTTAGTGGTTTAGTTCTGTAGGACTTGTGCAGCTTAAATGAGTTTGCTCCAATGTTATGCTGAACACTATTGCACACACACAAACCCGTGGTAAATATATATACCCCTCAGTGTCTTCTTCAGTCTGTAATGGTTAATGGGTATTACGCACATCATGTCGGACTTTTTGTTTAAAAATCTGTAACCAAAAAAACCAAATTTCATGAGCTTCCCTTAAATCTAAAAGAGACTTTCTGTGGTTTATCTTGTGATGTTTTTACAGATGAAGGAACACACACACATTATTGAATTGCAACAGTATAGAAAATAGTACACTAAATTCATACACAATGATCTAAGTTATTTGGTTTTTCTACTCCGGACTATTGTAAGATACCATCAAACTTATGTCTTCCTCAGAAGCTCTCAGCTGCTCTTTGACCAGTGATTGCGCCCCCTGCTGGTGTGAGGTTCACTGAATTGACTGCGCCCTCTGCTGGTTGGTGGACGCTGGAGAAGTGCGTCCCATGTTTCGGAGATTTTGCGCCCACGTCTGCACCTCGTTTCCTGGTTTCTATTGCTGGTTTGATCCAGAGCTTGTTTTTATTGGATTCCTGATGAACGACTCTTGTGTTGTTTCTTGTGTTGCCCCGGTCCATGAGATCTGCGCCCTCTGCCTTCCAGTTGTGGATAAGTCTTGAACAACAACCTGTGTCTCCCATACATGTTTGATCACATCCAAGGTGTCAGACTCATTTTGGTCGGGTGGCCAAATTTAAAAACATAAGAGCGGTTGGGGTCTCGTGTATAAAATTAGCTTATTTCCCAATATTTTTGTATATTTGTTTGAGTTAGGATATTATATTCCAGTAGATTCGGATTTTACCACACCTCGGCCAAAGATCAACAAGGATGTAGAGGGAAGATTGATACTTAACTAACTATAACAACAACAAAAAATAACAAAAAGTATAATATGGCACCTGAGTCCCTTACCATCAATGCTGCAAGTTACTGCGATAAAGATAATTGAAAGTCATTATAGGGGCCACTAAAAATTGTCTTGTAGGCTGGATTTGCGCATTATTTCACATAAGACGTTCTATTTGTCTTCTGGTTGTAATGTGTCCTTGGGGTGCACTAGTATCTGTCTCAAATTCCGGTTTGGTTTTATGGCTGTATTTACACTGTGCTTTTTCATGGCTCTTTGTACACATTCTATGACACAGTCTTTGTCTGTGACCCTGTGCTGACCGCGCCTGGGAAGAACCGCTCATAAGGCATGTCATGTGTGATGTCACGAGACGCTTCTGAGGAAGACGGACGTTTGCCTTGAAACATGTCACGCTAATAAAATCTCTATCTTACAATAGTCCGGTGTAGGAGAACCAAATAACTAAAACAAACCTTCCTGAAGCGTACATTTTGAGATGTTGTAAAAGAATACAGCCCTTGCCTTGAGGATAGGAGAATGCTTTTTAGATCTGGAAACTTTCTGGCAAATATTAAGTGTGAACTGGGCTAATAATCCTTGAGTAAGAATATCTCACTCTCTTTAATAATATATTTTCAGAATTCCTTAAGACCATTTTATAATTTGTGCTGATTTGTCCAAACATGTGTTGTTCTTTGCTGCATATCGTGGGGCATTAGACTGGGAAGACAGATGGCAGAATGTTGACTTGGATCTACTTCAGTCAGAATCTACAAATCCATCGCCAATGTTTTAACCTTTTACATTTTCCTGTTCCTGTTGCGTGATGGGAAACTAAACATGTGAAGATGCCAATGTTTGTCACACAGTTATGTCATTTTTAGTATCTGTTTTTTAGTCCATTAAATTACAGGCACATGTCAATAAACTTGGTTAATGTGGAATAGTTACTTTTACTGTCATGTCTACGATGCAAACCTATATTTCTAAAATGTCACATCGACTGCATTCATACCATGTTTAATGTTATGTCTTCTAATAGATTTAGCTTCAAGTGTGGTAACTTTATAGACAATGTTAACCAAATGCTTGAATCAATGCTTTACTTTTGATACTATTGTAAAATTATTCAATCTAAATCACAGAAAGAAAATCTTTTTATCGACATGTGCCTGTGAATGGAGCAGCCCTTGCAATAGCCATCTTTTATGTAACCAGAGTATTTTAGCAAATAAGTACTAGAAATGACAACAGCATTGATCTAAAGAATAACATGTAGTGTAAATATTTTGTACTGCAAAGTGCCAGCTTCTGTGAAAGACTCTGACTGGACTGAGTGGAGGGCTGTGTGCATGGGTGAACTCCAAAAGGACTTCTGTGGTTGTAGGTGGTTCTGGGAAAAGTGCAAAGCTAAAGCATACATTTGGGTCTGGACACTGTCGACTGTATATCAATGCTGCCCCAGGACACAGACTGGTCTCCTGGATAACCATATTCATTGTTGATTTTCTATTTTTTTAACGTACCCATTGATTTCCTCTCTGGATGGCGACACTGTTGCATTTGACACCCAAAACAATAAAAGTGCGTTCAACACAGGACTCAGCTTTGTCACTGATTTTTCATTGGTCACCTGTGTAACAGGAAGTGGGCACTTTTCCACTGAGGAAAAACACAGTTTTTTTGTCTAAAAACCCAGAGTTTCCTCTTACAAACTGAGCAGCGTGTCAGAACGACTCAGCATTTAACCCGCCTCAGGAGGTAGTTTGTTTGTTGAGGCGTGTTTATTTGTATAGCACTCAAACCAAAAGGATTTAGTTTGTTGCTGACATGGAGTGGAGAACGAGGGACAATACTTGCATAATATAGCGAGCTTTTACCATCAAGAACTCACACCATTGGGCGTTTTCAGCTCTTTCCTTGTAAACTCCTCTATCATAAGGCAATTCCCTGGAGTACTTGCTACTGTGACTTTAGAAGTCAAGTTTGTTTTGACTTGTCCTGAATTTCAACAAAATATGGGTTTGCAGTGTGAAAACATTAAGTGACCAATACTTACAAAGTGTTAAGAGACTCATATATTATGTCTAATGTTATTATTATTTAGCTTGTTACTCAGGTACAAATGGACTTTTGCTCATAATTATGTCTTTGCCTTGTACTTGATAGAGAAAATAGTGACTAAAATTGTCTAATATTTTTTTCTACTTTATGTAATGAAGATGAAAAAATAATAATATAAAGCAAGATGAGCTTTTTGTGTCATTCAAGCTTTATCCAACCAGCCCAAGAAATGTTTTTGAAGGAAACGCACGACCCCTCACTTCTCCATTACCTGACAGCTTTCCCTACTTGTGACTCAAATAACGTTTTCCTTTCAACTGTCCTGTCTCCATTACCTCCACACACACACACGCACACACACACGCACACACACACACACACACGCACACACGCACACACACACACACACGCACACACACACACACACACACACACACACACACACACACCTGACGGGTAGACACAGCCAGCCCTTTCCACTTGTGTCTGAAATCAGGACCAAATAGACAGCGGCTCTGGGGCAGATGAACATGACCTTGTGTCCACCGCTGCTTGTTGGATGCTGCGCTCTCATCTTCATTCCGGTCCACTCCATCCCCTCAAGAAGGGGGCGTCCGGCTGCCAGCGTCTGTCAGAGGAGCCAGTCTGTCAGGAGGAAAGCCGGCAAAACAACATGGTGTCCAGGGAAATAACACACTTGCGCACGATTGTGATGAGATGGTTAAAAGTGTCCTCAGAAGTTCTCTGTCAGGGCATCGATCTTTCAATGTGTATTCTGTTGTTAGCTATTACCACTCACTAAATCTGAAAGTACGAGCCATTTAACACAAGTGTAGGAGCCTCAATAATTGTATTATTATTTGATGAAAAGAGAGGAGCTGTCTTCAGGTGGTTTAATATGTAGAGAGAACAGAGCATAACATAGTAATGAGCGGGAACCTCACATTTAATAACCGTGGCCTTGCACACGTCATTTAGTCCCTTACACTACTACTACTACAAAAACACCATCATTTTGACTGTTCATATTTAAACCATAGGAATTCTGAGAAACTCCCCCAAAGAATATTTACTTTTCCACCATATTATTAAAAGAAAGACATTTACAAGCTTTTATTTTTATTTTTTATCTTTACTCACTTTTAATAAGTGCTAAAACTGGTCACGACTGAAATACGGCTAATTCTAAGGCAGAAACTGACAGTAAACAGAGTGTTGCTATGGTAACTAGCACTTGAGTTAAAGTTAGAACTACTCACATATCAAATGTAAAAAAAATAAAAAAAGTAAAAAATAATGACAGCATAGAAATAAACCACACATAGAATCAAAGACTAAGAGAGAGATTACAGTTCCATAACTAAAAGCCGTCAAATTGACTGCTCTGGGAGTTCTAGTGTTAATTGTGGCTGAACTAATCTGTGCCTTTGACCGAATTTATGTCATAAGATTTTAACTGTCAATAGTTTATCATAGTACAATATAAGTAAGGTTGGATCTATCATTTGCCAAGGGGATAGTAGACAGGGCCCCACTAAAACCTTTCTGAATTGAACACAGTCTTTTATTTTGTTATGTATAATAATAAACAATTAACCAGCGTTCACATCATCTGTATATAGATGGACGATGCTAACCCGCTAGCTC